AATCAAACAGCAAAATTGACTTCCGTCCACGTTAAAATTCAACGCAACGCCAGAACGCAATCACCTCTCGACTTTAAAATTCCAACTGTGAATTTACGAGAATAACAAAACAGAAATGCACTGTCGAAATACTACATTGACACAGATATTTAAAAGGCAACACTGTTTACTGACAGACGAGCCGTGTAACAGCAGAATCGCATTTTGAACTAATGAAGCGGGTGTTTCCAATCGGCCATTGGCAATTTTAATTGGAATCGAAAGCTATGGAGGAAAATAATATCAACAAAGAAAAATATAATAACAAAGCCCCGCTTTTCCAATATTTCATGAAAATATTACCGAGACTTATGAAAAGGGAATGATGGACGGTTATTATTAACAGCGAACGGTGTATTATTTGGATCCACCTACCTACCAGCATTCAAGATAAAAATACTGAAAAGAACGAATCCCAAATTCACAAGCAATCGAATATAACATTGACGTACCAGGAGTTCAGAACTATAAGGAGATTGCAAGTGTATTCAGCGCACGGCCGCCGCAGCCGGTCCGTGTCACCGCTAATCAGTATATCTCGTGACTGCCAGCCCTGCTTCCCTGCCAATGTACCTACCGCTGTGCCGCCCTACCGCTATGCGGCCTAGTTGTATGGTCCCGTAATGGGAAAATCGGGGATGAAAACCGATTGCCAAAAGACACGATAAAAGCAACACAAAAGCTTTGATCTGTATTAGATGTGATTCAAAAAGGTTGAACGTTTGACTGATAATAAATTTGATAGTCTCGAACTAGACAGTCTATATCTTTATGCAATTAGCAGAATATTTCATTAAAAATTTCGTCACTTTTAATAGAGCAATAAAGTTAATAAACGTTTTTAAAAGCTGCAACGGTTGTAAGTCACATTGCTTAGTTGAAGCAGTAGGGATACAGAAGAAATAAACTTAGGAGTGTAAAACAATGAGCGAAAATTTTTCCAAAGGCTTTATATCAAATTACTTGCTCATAGACCCGAGGATCAATATGAGCTAACGGTCAGCACGTGTGTCGTATACATTCGGGTCACGTGTCGGTTCAGTTAAACCGAGGCGAACTAATCAGGACTCGCAACGCCGAGAGCTGGCCTGACCAGAACTAAGTTTTTGATTATATTACTTTGTCAGAGCTGGGAAACTTAATATAAATGCAAACTGGACTAGATCCTATTTGTTTGTTAGTCTATTTGATAGGTGTCATCACGGTCGGGTGTTCTGATCAGGCAGAAAATGTATATTGGATTTTATGTTTGCATTGACAAACCGGATAGACTGCCGTCGGTTTGTCAAAGCTAACAGGGGCTGTTTTAAATAGTGGCGGAATTTGTTACTGAATTTAAGCCCACATTTTGGGCATGGTGAAACATAAAAGAGGAGTACGCTTCCTATTATGCAATTCGTACTCAAGAAAGTCGTTTAGTAAAGACCCTTTACTGTCAACTTGCTCTTAAAAACGTGTCCCTCACGTTGACTTTCCGGCTCGGAATCTCTTCATTTCATGGAACAGTTTTCTTAATCTATTATCCCAAAAATAAACTGAGATAGCGTTCGTCTTAAAGCTACTTCTGACCGTTATAAGGAGGCTGGCTTCATTAAAAGTTGAACGATCGACAGTTTGTTTTTAGTCGAGCTGAACAATATGAAAAAGTTAAATCCATAAAGGGCATTCTGGCCAGTTAATTAAGCTAGGTCCAACACAAAACGGGTGCGTTTTAATTATATTAAATCCTTATATAAATTGCGTTAAGTGGGTTACGTGGGGTCGGTTAGCTGGCGTTAACTGTTCAGAAATCGGTAATTTTTATACTGAAGTGCTACCGACGGTTATTAATGGAGAAAATGTTGGAAATATTTATTGCAATTTCGTTATTTAGCTTTTAATCGTTAGCAGTAAAGCAATCCGGATACTCTAAACATTCTGTTTGTTTTCGGGTATTCGTCACGCCTATGAAGTAATTGTCATTTGTAGGCAAATCGCTAGCTGTAAGTAGCGTCGATCTTGCTTATAAAGTACCATTAATTAATCTATCAACGTGGAATTCATACAAAACAATAATGACTTAGTTGACAGTAGAATCGGTTTAAGTCAAAGAAACAGAAGTTATTTATAACATCGGGAATTTTAGGACTACTAGAGTATACTTCGAAAAACATTCAGAAAAATAAGGTAGAAACTATATGGATATAAAAAATATGCTATTCAAAAGAACGAAGTACAAAAACATGTTGGATTAAAAACAATTTTATATCGCTTTGGGTCAAAAAAATCGGGTTCACAGAACTTTCCAGAAACTTAGTAGACCATGACGCACGCAGTTAAGGTGTTAAAACATTTCTTATAAAAATAAATTGTAGGGTTTTTACTACACACCAAAACGTATTTCAAGACATTGGAGTTCAACGACGTTTTTTAATGGTCCCTGCTGACCGTTTAGAAAATAAAATATAATGAGAATGGAAAGATACAAACGATCAAATCAACAAGAATAGATTTAGCTAAAAGAGAAAAATGCTTTAATAAAAAATAAATAGTATACTATAAAATTTGCAATTCAAAAGTCTATAAAACCATGACACAACTCGATCATCAAGCGATGAAGCACGCTCGATAAAACCAGCAACGTCAAAGTGGAAACTCGACTTTTCAATAGCGTCACTATTCAGTCAGCCAACATTAATAGTGTCAGCTATTGTCTTACTCACAGAGTTGCAACTAAGCCAAACTAAACCATAAGCACGCAGGACGGTTTCACACGAGACCTAACAATATACGCTACATAGAAGCACTATTCCAATAACTAGTTTCAAACGTACAGCCCTAATTGATTGCAGTTACAGAGAGGAACCAAGAAACCGCAAATGTATATATAACGCCACTTTGAACAATCACCTATAATAATGAAACTATAGAATTAACCAGTTTAATCCATTCTGACAGTGTCCAGAGCTTTAAGTACGAAAAATCTAACAATGAGAAGAGAAGTCTTTTCATCTGTATCCATTGTTCTTAAACTGACGATGTGACATTTTATCACAACTGGGGGTAAATCGAATGACTGCTCACGTTTTTATCTTTTAAGTTTAACGGTAATATATTATTTGCTATCTGTAGAGCTGCCTTCACTGAATGGAAATACATTCTGCATTTCAAGGCATCTTCGAGCACACGAGTGACATATCACTGCAAGCCTTTTAAGTTATCGATTCCATTTCCGAGTCTTAAAAGATCGATCTGATAGAACTTTATTTGATTTCATATTTGAGAAACTTCATTGACATTGTGATAAATTGGACGTGTTTTGAACTGGACGGGTCGTTCTTGTAATTGGATTTGGTTTTCAACCGGCTTTATGTTGTGATGTGCAGTCAGCTCCACCAGATTGATGATGATGAAATTTAATTGGATGGTTTGCCGGGAACAAATTCCACAATCCCTAGCATTTCAAGCAAATCTTAATTGCTTTACGTCGCCAGTCGAAGTCAGTTAGAAAGAAAACTTATTATTTCTTGGAAAGAAATTCATAGGGAATTATTTTTCCAATAGCACTTAACCTAAAAATTAAATGTTCTTTTAGATCGTTTTTTTTCAATTAGTCGTTTGATGTAAACGTTTCCTACAATACGGTGGTACGTACAAAGTTCTTCACAGCAATTAATCATTAGCCTTTTTGTCAAGTCGGTGCTATAGAAAGACGTCCCTGTTGTATGGCGGCAATGTGGTCTCTTTCATTTGGTATAGCCGTGGCGAATAATCTCGCACAATTTCCGCAATTTAAATCTTTATTACCGCGAAACTAATCTTCTTCCAAATCCTCTATCTAGAATAATGGACGGCGAGATATCCACGTTACTGCGGATCCGTTCAATTTATCTTGTATTTTAACAGACCGCACTCGTATGTCTGTAAACGAGATACGATCTAGGGATTACGTCGTGCAGTCGACATATTGTAATCGATATTCGTCTAATCGAACATACCCTCCGTGCATTGTTAGTGCAATCTAAATGGAAGCTCCGCTATACCTTCGCCGAGTACAGACGTGGCTTAATTCGATTTGCGGGAACCTCGGCACAATTCTGACCGTGGACGTGATATGCATGAACAAAGGTCTTATTTTATACTTGAATCTATTACAGGGGGATCGCTGTAATATTAAAATTAATATCCATTTAAAGGTCTCGTATATAACACAAAGAAACAGGAACAAAAGTTCTTAAAAAAATAAGACAAATTATTGTAATCAAAAACAATTTGAAGTCATCATACACTTAGCGACAAAATTGAATAACCTTAAAAGCGTAAATGGATACAAAAGAGAAATTGAATTGGGATTGAATATGTGTCATCGGATCTGAGCGGTAGGCACAAAAAGAGTTGACGTATCGACAGATGAAATACGAGTGGTGAAGGTATGAACGTTAAGTGAGTAACTGTTACGGACTGTGACAGAAGCGATGTGCAAAGCGGACGTGGTAGATAGGGTACTGCAGTAGGCTCACAGTTTATTGTTAACATTGAACACAAATCGGAACTACTAGATACTGATGTCACAGCGTACAAACACAACGGGGACAGAGAAGTTGTAACAGAATTGTCTAGAAATAGACGCAAGGAGAATGAAAACGTTAAACTGATTGTAGCAAATATTAGCAGAATAAATTACTTGAGCAGTTAAAATTTAAGTACAACTAAAAATGAAATCAAAACCACCGTGGATACAAGGAAAATTACGCGGTTAATTTATATTCTGAAAGTGACTTTATAATTTGGAAAAATTATCATATTTCAGCATACCTGTTCTGTGAGATGAATTTAATGAAATGTTTTTTCGACGGGAAACTTAATTCTTTTAATATTAACCTGAGAATTTTCGCCAACTTGAGATTTCATACAGACAGTTTTTGGTTCATACTCTCTGAAAATAGCTACGTTTAAAGGATTTAATAAACTTGGATACATACCACGAGTGCGTGTCGCACCCGTCTTTCCGCCGCAGCGTATGGCTCCCTATTATGCTGCAGGTTGTGAACTGAAACAAGGAAACAACAGATTTATTGAAACGAACAGGAAAAACATTCGTCACAACGTCCCTCAAAAAGTGGAGCAAACAAATAGCTAGTGGATCGATCACGGTTCAAGTCAGGTAAGAAGGAATTGAAAATTAAAGGAACTGGAAATATGATAAGAGATTACAATTTCTTTCTTGAAATTAAAACAGAATAATTATACCGGGTTGTCATTACGTTGATTAACAGAATAGAATTCCAAGGAATAATCATTTTTAACATTAAGTGAGAACAAAGCAGGAAATTACGCAATACCTCGCCTTGTGGTTATATTCTTTCTAGCACTAAAACTGTTTTTCATTAGAAATTAGCAAGTGAACTATGCTTGGGTAACTTCCATATTATGCGCATTCATTTGCATAGTCCGTACAGAACTTCTAGTAAGATTTTCAGTTGCTCAAACGTTCAAAAAGTCGCACTTAGCATCAATTAGTGTTCAAAGACCTCAAAGTTAGGTTTTAATTTTACGTTTTCCATGTAAATGACTCGGTTGTGAGCTGGCTACATTTAAAGAGTCTAGATTTTGGTGTGACCGTTTTTAAATTTTATTTTGCAATAAATGTGGTGATTATTTCAAAGTGATTATTTCAAATAGATCAAATCTCGAGTGGTAGCACTCGAGATTTGATCTATTTGCGCTGACTGAACAAGACAAGCCCATTTACCGGCAAACCATTACCGTTTGTAAACAGGGCGTTTTATATTTAGAGAGTGGATTCCTGCTGCACTTCCGTGTTCAAATGCAAGCATTAGTGGATCGAGTGACTAATTGCAAAGCTGTAGCTCAGAATTGTGCCGGATACTGTTCATGGTACCGCGATATGGTCCGTTAGATGTGCTCGTAATATATCACTGCGATTTTGTTCAATGAAAGCCGTTCATAGCAAGCGGCAGTCGGTATGCTGTAACCGATACGCAAGCTTTCTGCTAAATCCAATTTCATTCCAAGTTTATGAATAAGCGAATTTATAATACTGCAGCAAACGTATCAGTTAAAACGTAGCACTAACAGCTATGCGCTGCTTAATTCAATGTTACGCAAAATAAAAAATATTTTTAATAAAACGTGAACACGACCACCGCACCAAACAAAATTTTGACCGAGAAAATACTAGCTTGAAAAACATTCGCAGAACATATTTTTTACCAATTAACGGTGCAAACAGCTTTTTAAATAAAAGAGATGACTTTTCTATTTTCGCTTGTGACCGTAAAGCTTTTTAAAGACAGAATATTTCACGTCCACTGCACGCTTGCTGAGCAAAATGTTGGTCACGACCTTAATGTTTATGCATACATAAAGATATTAATGTCGGAGATACGATCTTTTATTTCATTGTAGAACAATGTAGGAACAGCACGAATCGTTAAACGGTTTGTTCTTGTAACACAGGAAAACGAGGTAAGATGACATCAGATAGATATTGGGTTAGAAACAAATAAATATAAATAAGCAGAAACAAAATTCCAAGACCAAGCTATGGCTATGGTGAAAAGTTATGTATGTTCAAGATGTCGATTATTTTAGAAAAGTATATTCGGAGACAATAGTTAAGAAAACAACGGTAAAGTTAGTATTACTATTTACTACTGAGCTTTTTTACGTCAGAGCAGTAATGGAACAACTGAATGATATTGTTCTGTTCATACACGAGAGAATAACGCAGCGGCCCGTGAGCGTACATCACAATAGATTTGCTTGTGAACCCAACCAGTACTGTGGGCAATGTGGAGCATGCCTTTGTCTAGGCCAGAATCTCAGTGCATGTATTTAAAGCCAGTCGTATTGGCTTCAGTGGAGAATTAATTATTGTACAGCTGGAATATCTCCCGGGTATTAGAGTTTACACTAAAGTTGGTGTTGCTAGTTCAGATTAGGGGTTTATGGGATAACGTTGAGCAAATAACTTTGTGCAAGTTGTGGAGTGTGTTTCGAAACACAATTGTTTAGAAACATTAGCACTTGTGTTAAGTTTTGATTTTGAGTGTAATATTATTTCTACTCCCTATATGTAAACTACGAGTGGTTTGAATTTGAAATCAAATTGATTCGTGTAATTGCTTGTATTTCAGCATTGATTCATTGCTACGGCTCTTAATCTTTGGACGAGTCCAACTTCGCACAGAGGGATCTTATAGCCCCATTTATTTTATTCCAACTAGACAGTTCCCTCGGGTGTAAAACAAATCGAACTCACGTGGAATTCTAGTTAGTTAATCGAAACTTTCGATTCACGTTGGGGGAAGAATTTCTGAGGCTAGTTTGTTCACTGCAAATAAAATTGATCCTTAAATAAAAGTGATTAGTGTCTCTAGTAGTAGTTTATAAATAGATGAGGATGTGTCATAATCGTAGTAGACAACATTTATGACATCGTCACAAAAGTAATCATATAGCTAGATAGTAGAACAACGTCGTCATTGTAACATTTATGTATGTATGAGTAAGTAAGTACTATGCTTCATAGTAGACGCTTAGAAATTACAATAAATATGTACATATTACACGGCGTTCGGTGTAAGATTACTGAAATACCTTCACGCAAGACCTTTTCTATATACAGAATTGATTTTCGATATCAGAAACGATTCGTATAATTACGCGATAGCTGAATGCCTTTCTAAATTTATTACTTCTCTTTTATAACTTTATCAACATATTTTAATTAGGTTTGAAATAGTTAGTTTCTGGTATAATACAGCCTCCATAAACTATTACCGACCATCAGACTTTAGGGTACAAAAATTAAGACTTAGAAGATTTTATCTAAATGTCCATAAGGGTTTTTGTATGCGGTATGGGCACAAGAGGGGTAGGGTGTAAGAGCTAGTTCAAACAGCGATAAGGTCGTGAGGCGGGGTAAGCAAATGTGCTAATATTTGTCAAGTGTCGTACTGTGACGCATTACGTCTGGCAAAACAAAACTTATTTGTTTTGGACGTCATTCTATTGTATAATTGGACGTTGGTTGCGGTAAACCATCTTGAAGTACACAGTGTTAGTGCTTAACCGCTTGATAAGAAGACATGAATGCGAAAGTAACCGCATAACAGACTGATAATGAAAGTAATCGAGCTCTTCAGTGCACTTCTAGGTACAGAAATAAAGTCAATGACAATGCTAAATGAAAAAAAAAACGTATGTTAACTTACACTGGCACAGAGCACAAGGCACAAAATCCTAAAGTTTCAAACACTGATACGAAAACTTTACGAGATGGGGCGTCCACAAACGCGACGGTACTTCTGAACCGAACGTTGGTAGTTCGGAACGAAATGTCTTATCTAACGTACCTATAGGCTAGTCGAGTATCAAATAAAATAATTAAATGAGATTGCCGTTAACTCTTGAAGCATAAAACACGGTACTTCTTATCATTAGAACAAACAAGTAAAACATAACACGTGTGTTTAATGTGTTAATGATACATGTGTCATGATTTATTTACTTGCACGTATTTTTTAGGTTACTATCGCACGTAGATTTGTTAAGATCCCACTGTAACGACTACACAAACATTTAATTATTAATTAAAATGTGTCATTAGAGTGATTGTATAATATTTAGATCAAGGAAAGATTGCTTGTTATTTAGTTAACGATAAAAATATTAAGGATGATAAGGTGATAAGTAAGGCTATGCTAGGCTATTCGGTTCCATATTCAGTTTGGACTAGTGCTTCTTGCAATGTTGCTATCCTAGTATCTAGACTCTTAGAGCATACATTTGAACTTAAAGTTTTTATTTAGAAAAGGCCTTTAATAATGTTGGTTGATATTAAGACCTGCTTAGTCCTTGTGGAAAGGTTATAATTAAGACACAGGTAACTTCTGATATCACCTTTGCCACACCCAAGTAAGGATGTAAGGAGTGGGTGTAATTTATCATATATGACCAATGTTAACAGTTAGCACGTCATAGACAATTCTCACGTCCCATACACTAAAAACAAAGACACACAAACTGACAAGCAGTGGTATTATTTGTATTATATTTTGTACAGATGCGACATTAAACACGTCTACTGCTCTTGACGTTAGATAAAGCTGTTGTGCAAATATTGCGGTACTGTGTGTCTGTGTGCACACACATACATACATTAAACTAATGTAATTATTCTCTTCCTGGTACCTATCTGTGAACGGGAGACAAACACATGTGAATAACATTTAAATTAATAAAACAAGGCTTAAATTTTAACCTTGATATACTTTTCTGAACCTAATACTTTATGGAAACTTTAAAACGCAGGCTTTTGGCATTGAAAAAAGAATTTTAATGTTGGCAACACTGTCAGAAAACGATAACCAATCATCAGCTTGTGTCAGCATCATAAGCCGGGACTCAGAAGTAACAGAGTTTTAAGTCTCGTGCTGTCTCACTTACTCTTATTAGAAAGATTTAAGAGCGTCTTTAACTTAAGTAGCCTTTCAGCTCTGAAGAGCAGAAAGTATGGTGTTTTGAAGGGGATTTATGGAAACGTACTGGTAATACGAAATATTCATTTATGTTTTAGCGGAAGTTAATACGACCCCTTTAATGTACGATTAGTCATATTACATAGACATAGCATATATATGTAGATGATATAACCAGACATAAGGTCTATCTATCAATAAAAAGTCAAAAACTGCAAAAGTCAAAGTCAAAATCATTTATTCCAACTATACTAGAAACAGGCACTTTTGAAACGTCATAGAAGTGCCTATTTCGGTCAGTTCGTCAGTGAAATCATTAAAATCTAAATCTAAGTCCATCGTCATCCATTAGATCATTAATCGTGTAGTGATAGTAGAGAAATAGCATAAACTGTAGTTGAAATTATCAAGTATACAACATCAATGTGATGGATCGATATGACATCTATAGAACAAATTTTGCTAAAGCTTATGTCGAATCCAAGAAACACGGACGAATTTGATTCTTTTTCCTAAGAATTCACAGACAGGATAGACCCTCAGT